AAGAACCATAAAAAATGTACAAAAATATCCAAATTTTGAATCATCACCTACTGAACCAGATACATATACACTTCTTCTTGTATGAAAACAAAACAAATCCAATGATCTTTCATTTTTGAAAAATTTTTTTTTTCTTCCTTATGTTTTACAGAATTTACCAAATGATGATAAATTTTGGCCACATTTAAATATACTTTGTGTACAGCATCGTCTTTTTGGAATGAAAGAAATCGTTGGCAATCTGGTTGTAACTAATCTACAAAAATATCTTGAAAAACCTAGGCATCTTTTAACACCAAATGATCAAGCTGCAGCTGATGCTGTGAATGAATTATCAAAAAGAATTCCATACAATTTTACTCGTGTTCGAAGATCGGTTATTAATGCATATGAAGGTATGTTTTTATCTTTTTAAATTTATATCTCAATCATTGGTTTCATTTTAGCTTCTCTAGCGATACAGAACGAGAGTTTAGGAAAAACAAAATTAGTTAAGTTTCAAAGCAATGCAGGTCGTCATAGAGACGATAATGATAGCCAAGCATCAATTATCCATGCTGATTCATTGGGACAAGGAAAAAAAGTAATTAGAAAGAAAATATCTCTTTTTATCAGTAATTGTTCTTTTTTAACAAAAAAAATCAGGGAAGTGATGAATCTGGTAGAAAATCAGATAAAGAAGAAGATGGTTTAAGAGAATCTGATTCGACATTTGAATCACCTAGTAATAGAAAACATGGAAATGAACCTTTAACAACATTAGAAAAAATAAAATGAAATGATATGGAAAAAACAGCTGGATGGTGGCATAAATATTATGCATCAAAAGCAAAACTAGTATGGAATTATTTATTTTTTCTTGATTTTTCCTTATTTTTTTTAAATATTTTAATAGAAATTAATGCGACGATATGCTATAGATATGGGTGAAAGTTTAAAAGATAGTTATGATACTTATGCCGAGTTTTTTGAAGATGAATCAAGTTTGTTTGAAAGCTTTTGTTTTTATTTGATT